CAGAGTGTCATTGAGTGTGCTGAGATCAAGATGTACTACCCATAAAATAAAAACGAAGCTCAACTCCCAAGTTACGTAAGATATAAATTATACCCAACTTAAAGAATTTCTCCAGTTTGTTATATGTAATGTAGACAGGAGCCAATAAGTTTATTGGGGAACTGCAGTTGCCAGGGCAGATCTCATAGGTACCTCCCTGTTGTTTGGTAACCCACAAAGCAAACCTGATACACAGTCTGGTGATGATGAAGATGACAATAATAATGACAATGTCGATGGAGTGTAGTTTTGATTAAGTCTGTTAGTATGTTCATAATTTTATTTTATAAGCTAATTTTTTCCCTTAAATTGTCTTTATATGCAGAAATGGGGACTCAATAGAACACGTGTGATTAAGGACAGAAAAGTGTTTTGCACCATGAAAATTATTTACTTTTTATTTCTACTAAAGTGGAACATCTTCGCTTTTTCTGGACCTGCTTCATTTGGGCCAGGTATGATCAGCTGTATAAGCACAATACCGCCTCGACAGCAAGCATGAGTAGTAAAATGGAGATCGAATGGATAATAAATGTTGTTGACGTCCTGTTTGTCATAAGCACCCTATTCTCTACAACACCTCAGATTCCCATCTTCTAGTATCACTGACTGGTGTGGTATATGCTAAGTTAACTTTTGAGTTGAGAGTTTGAGGTAATTCTTCAATTCCATCACAGGCCATTTATTAGCACTTATTTTTAACATGAAAATCTTAGTGCCTAAAAATAAGTATAACTTTTAAGTAACGCATGTACGCGCTGCGAACCTATTTTTCTAAAATTAAACTTGGCGTTTCGTATGATATTTAGAGAAAGCTTTAGCACTTGAACACACAGTCTTCTTAATTTCGCAATAAAAGTCACTTTTGCCGAACTTAGAATATCAAAATGATAATCAGCAATGGCTAATGAATGGTTACTTTAAGCGCAAGCTTTAAAATGTTCAGTTTTTCTTTCATGGAGTCTTTAATTTAGATGCTTCCTTTCGGGAGGGTTAAGGTTATTACCAAGACACAAGCTACCGTTTGCTTGAAATTTACTCTCAGCAGCAATAACAATGGCAATGAACACAACCACGGCATTCAGCTCAGTTGTTGTCTGTGAACATTTGCTTTAAATTTATTCGCATCCCAAACTAATGCTGCCTCAACTTGTTTACGTTCAGGTTGTAAGGTTAAATGTTTGTTCTGGCCATTATACAAGTACCTATTCTGCTTTAAATCAACATCACTCGACGATATTGCTACATGTGCGCCCACGACTACTGAATACGTGTAAGAATAGATCAATTTTTGCCTTTGTCTCTTATGAGTTTATCTCTGTGTTGACCTGATGTAATTTGTGCCTTTTTGGATTTTTTGGGAATGGGGGATGGGCCGGAGGCCACCTCCTTATGAAAAGAGAATGGTTTTTATTTTCAGGAGTTGATTATGACTTCCAAAATTTAATCTGTTTCATAATTCAGAAAACGATTAAAATAAAATAAACAAATTATTTTATTTAAATGACTCCGAAATCATAGCAGGCACTTTCCATGCCCTTCTCGTCCTCCTCCTATATCTCTCTATGACCAATATTTTGTCTTAGTTCAAAGATGATAACAAAACTTCAACTTCAGGCTTAATAGTTCGACTATGAAGTAGACAAACATTCTCATTCGCTCACTCATCCTCATCGGGCCCATGAGGACTCTCGAGGCCGGAGACAACATTCTGCTTCGAGATTTTTGCTTTAACAAAGCTCTTTTTGTTTTCAGTGCAGTTTTCTTGAGCAACCTAACACACCTTCCAGCTGGAATATTTCCCAACCACACAAACCTATGGGGACTGTAAGTCTGAATTACTTTGTTTATCATCGTCATGGCTTATGCCTAGTTTGAGCTGATGCTGCGATAGCCAAGCATGCTGGTATTGTTTCCGTTTTATCTCTTTTTATTCATGAACGTAATGGTGCAAAGACATTTTGTGGAGATCAAAAAAGCCACAATAATGTTTAATCTGAGGTCCTCTAATCAAACCGTAAGCTAGAACTTTAACAACACGAGGCTGAATATTTCCTAAAGGTTAAAAGTTCAGATTAAAATGCAGTCGCTTTTATCATTTCACACATCGCTTTGTGAATTTTCAGACACTTGCGTTCTAACGCAATTGCATCTCTGTCCGAAGGAGTGTTCACAAATCTAGCAAAAATGACAGACCTGTAAGTGAAACGAGGCGAACTACAGTTCAAAACTTGCGTGAGTTATAACCTGTCTCAATAGGGTTATTAATGCACCCAACAATCAATTCTCGGTGAAAAGGATGCTTAAGTTATGAATTTTTTCTCTTTAAACAACAACAAAAAAAATACAACTAAAATTGTCCGCTAAATCTGAAGAGAAAATTTCTACTTAACAACAAACCGTCATAAATACACTGGAATGCCAATTACCATGGATACCGCAATGCTCCATTTCGTGAACAAGATTTAATGATTTTATTACGTGAGAAACGATGGACAATTTAACTGCATAGTTTATACATATATTTATAAGTAAATATAATTTAACACAGTTGTATATTGATACAGACTTCTGTCATCAAACGCCATTACAGCTCTACTTGTCACGGTATTTGGCACTCTAAGAAACCTGTTTGATTTATAAGTTAAATGTTGCACTGAGAACCTTGCATGGGTTTACGGTTATGGTAACGAAATAACCAGCAATATATTGCACTTTCAATAGGATACTTTAATTTAAAAAAAAAAACAAGACAAACAAACAAAAAGAAAAAGGACAAAACAAATCAACGAGAAAATATTAATGCAAGAAAGCAAAAAAGTAATAACGTAAGGAGTAATAAAGCAAAATATTAAATATGAAACGTGTTAGATATTATGACACACTAATTCTTATTGTATTGTGTACTATCATAGAGATTTGTCTTCAAACGTCATAACGTCTCTACCAGACAAAGTGTTTGCCAACCAGAGAGGGGTTGCGGAAACTGTAAGTTGGTCAAAGTACCTCTACAACACAAAGCCGAGCTTGCATAAACAAGTATTTTCTCGTTACGATAAAAAGAGGATAATACACGGCGGCGCAAAGATATGAATTTCATTTTCGAGCGGTTTGAAAGGATATTTTATGAACAAGCGCAATAAGAGTGTAAAATATCGTTTTTAACACGAGAAAATCAAATTCATATCTTCAAGCCACCGTGAATTATATTTATTATATAGACAAACGGACTGTTTGCACAAACAAGCGCAACAAACGGGAAATGAGGTCATCAATTTCTCCACTGGTGAACACGAGGACATGAAAAATGCACCACTTGGGTCCCGAACGTAGTTTCGTTTGAATTTTCCGAGTGTTATATATAAAAAATAGCCTTCATTTGGCACTAAAATATGCTGGGATACTGTCTGTTCCGAGAAGAAAAAATTACGAGCTTCGAGGAACAGACAATGTTTAAGGACTAACATCCGAGCATATTTTTTAAAGCCAAGCGAAGGCTATTGTGTTTATTATCCTTCAAACACGCGCAGTTTTGAAAAATATTCCCCAGTTTTAGCTGGAGCATATTCAGTCACATCACGCGTTTATGAGATCAATCGTGCGCGAGCGGAAACATTTGATGGAACATAATTTCCAGTAAAACACTTGTATCTATAACCTTTAATCTTTAATCTTTTATCATTATTTATACACGGTAAAAACATCAGGTACAAAAAATTACATCATAATGACTAAAAACCCAAATCCTAACATTATATTAACTTACATTAATATGTCACTTAAGAAAAATCCTGGTTTCCATGAATGCCGCGTTTAAAAATTATGGTAGAGAAGGCGTTTAAATTTGTTTAATGAACCAGACTCTCTAATATAATACGAAATATTAGGTGGGAACTCACTTCAGAAAGTTGTTAATTATTGTAATTTTATACAATGCGTTGCCGATTTTCACAGAAATTTGTCTTCAAACGCTGTTAAATCTCTGCCTGCCAGAGTGTTTGCCAATCTGACAAAATTGAACATTCTGTAAGTAAAATCCGCAGCAATGGGCAGAGTTAGGCAACGTATCTGTTGTCACTTGAGAAAAATGCCTAGTTTAAAATCCCAAAATCGTTGTTGTACATAGCATAACACAGAGCAATAGGCGGGCTTTGGCACGAGGATCTATTCTACAGTAAATTTCATGCTGGCTAAGGAAACCATGACCAATCATTGTCATTCACTTTAACCTAAGCCGTAAACTGGTCATTTCCGGGCCATGGCCTGTACTTCATGGCTGGTTAAATTTGGTTTGTTAGACTGCCCCTCAATCGAACAGTGCAATCTTACCCCCGATTTCTGAAACTCAGTGGCACTCGATGAAATCTGTTTGATCTATGAGTTGAGTATTGCATCAAGAACCTTGCATGAGTTAATGACCGCGGTAATGCAATAACAAGCAACATACGGTACTTTCAGTTGGTTAGTTTGATCTAGAAGAAGTAACAATTCAAGAAAGTGAAAAGACCC